AGAAAGAATAAATATTGCAATGTGATTTATTCCCAATATCGTGCAGCCCTACGTCTGACGCAGCTGTGATTTTGACAAACAATGTAATTCTGATTCCCCTGCACCTCGGGCCCCTTTGGCTGCGTCATGCTGTTGTGAAAATTCACATCTCAAGGGCGGACAGTCAGACCTCCTTTTAGCTGATGCATGCTGCTAATTAAAGGTCAACATAATATAAAACTCACCTTTGTTACTGTGCTTATAATTTAAAGCTCTTTTAATGTAGCGTTTCCATTAGTGTATTCCACTACTGTGTGTGCAAGAAACAAAAATAGATGTTAGTCATCACAGTAACATACCTCCGTGGGAACAAGGCATTCTGGGAATGAGCCCAAATCGTTTGCAGCAGCAGCTCTGGTAGGACCCTGTATGGCAGATGGCCTGGTGCCTTTCACATGCCTTCTGGAGGCGTGTGAGGGACGTGTGCAGCCTTCGCTGAGCCGGCCGCTCACGCCTCGATCCCGTTTCCCCCGCAGGCGGGCACTGACGGCGAGAGCATCGGGAACTGCCCCTTTTCCCAGCGGCTCTTCATGATTCTCTGGCTGAAGGGGGTGGTCTTCAACGTCACCACTGTGGACCTCAAGAGGTGAGACCCATAGCCATGGGGGAGGGACCGTCATGACAACCAGCTCATGTTCTTCTTGGACACGTCCCTGAGAACAGGGTCTGCTGGCTGTTTGTGTGTGTGGGGGGGGGGGTGATAGTGGTGTGGGGGTGTTCGCCGCACTGCCATCCTCACATGATCTTTGACTAGAACGCCACCTACTGGACTGGCAATGGCTCATCAGCCTTTAAATTAGCAAGAATTCCCACTTGGCACTAAGTCTACACTCGGGAGTTGAGGTCACGGCTTGCCGCGGGGGTCCTGATCCCGGCCCCTGCCTGTTTGGATGGATGGCGGTGTGTTGGCCGCAGTGGTTTCCTGTTACCTTCGATACATGCAGCTTTTATCAGGTCACTGCAGACCCTTCCATCAAAGCGTATCCTCAACAAGCTGAGGAGTGCCAGCCGTGTAGGGAGGGAGAGACAGAGAGAGAGACGCACCAGCCGTTTAGGGAGGGAGGGGGAGAGAGAGAGCGAGAGAGAGAGAGCCATGTAGGGAGGGAGGGAGAGCGAGAGCAGTGCCAGCCGTGTAGGGAGGGAGGGAGGGAGCGAGAGGAGTGCCAGCCGTGTAGGGAGAGAGGGAGCGAGAGGAGTGCCAGCCGTGTAGGGAGGGAGAGACAGAGAGAGAGACGCACCAGCCGTTTAGGGAGGGAGGGGGAGAGAGAGAGCGAGAGAGAGAGAGCCATGTAGGGAGGGAGGGAGAGCGAGAGCAGTGCCAGCCGTGGAGGGAGGGAGGGAGGGAGGGAGAGAGTGAGCTGTGCCTCGGCAGTGTAAAGTGCCTGATGGTCTCGTGCGTTGTGTAGACTATAGATAGTTCCTGGAAGTACTTGGCAGCTCATTTGAATGCATTAAATGCAGAGAGAAAACAGCGATTTTTGGTCATTAATAGTCAATAAATGCACTGATTTACAATATTTATATAGCACACCGATGTGTGTATGTACTTACATGAATTTCTTTATTTAAAAAATTCGCATAATTATTGGTAGTAGTACTGTGCACTGATTGTAATTTTCTTGACCAATTCCAATTTCCGCTTTTCGATCTTCGTGATTTTTGCTAATTCCAATTCAATGCTTCATTCCACACTTCGATGCAAAATTTAATTTTCATAATAAAAGAAATTGTTAAACTTTACAATTTACCATGAACTGCACTAAGTTACAGGATCTTCTCTCACTTAAACGAGTTTCAAAATAGAATGCTCTTTGACTGAAAAGAGGTACAAATAACAATTAACTGAAAATGAGTTACTGTACATCCAGCTTTCTGACATATTTTACTTTACCAAACAGCAACAAGTGCAGCAGATTTAACACGACATCTTTTACTTGTCTTAAAATAAGTCCATAGGTTACAAACCTTTAAATACAATTGAAGTGTACTGTACAAAATAGGTACAGGGTAATATTAATATCAACATCGATTGTTATGCACATACAATTTGTAATCTCTAGTAAAGTAGATTAAGATCAGGCTTTTTCATACCTGCACGCTGCCTGGACATTATGGTGCAGGGGGTGAGGTTTTGTTAAAACTATTTTTCTGTCAGGAAAAATCCTTAGCTAGCTTTGCAATTTTAATGATTAGTTTTCAAGATTATCCAGCATATGTTTAAAAATCAGTTCAAGGTTCACCTCGCTTTCATGGTGGTCCCCACACGGTTTACTTTGACTTCACATGTATTACAAACTAGTCTTCACTCACAGTGAAGAACTTCCACACAAACAACATGTTAGTGCCTGGCTGTGAGTGTGCATGCGACTGTGAGGCTATTGTCCGCGCCGCTGTGCGTATGACGTGCGCATCCTTAAAACGGGCCTGTAGGGTATCGGAAATACCAGACTGGCGGCCAGTCTCTAGTCCGGGCCCAGCACACCGAAAATCTGCTGATTCCAGTCCCTGGATGGTCGATCGGTGCATCTCCAATCATTATGTTCTTAAACTTCTAAGGTAGCCAAGAGAAATCGTATCCTGTTTGATATATTTACAGGGAAGGGAAGAGAAGAAATGTTTCAAAGTTCAGATCAGGTTAGGTCTAAAGGTCGTACCGTTTAAAGGCACACCACAAATACTCTATTTTGCTGCAACACTACTTATCTGCTAATGTTTGCGGTTAACTTCTGAGAACTATTGAGATGCTCCATGATCTGCTGTAGAGAAATGGTCCGTTGGAGTGAGCAGAGTTGATGTGACCCTCTCTACACGGCTCTGGGGAGACCCTGCATACACAAAATCTGCATGCTGGCCGGAAGCTTCCTGTTGGTGGCAGGTATCAGCCAGCCTCCTGCCTTACGCTCTGTGTGTGTGTGTGTGTGTGTGTGTGTGTGTGTGTGACTCACAGGAAGCCAGCAGATCTTCAGAACCTGGCGCCTGGCACCCACCCCCCTTTCATCACCTACAACGGGGAGGTCAAGACTGACGTCAACAAAATTGAGGAGTTCCTGGAAGATGTGCTCAACCCTCCCAAGTAAGTGCCTGAACACGGCCTGTCCCCTCTCCCGAGCGCGTGAAGGCTGCTTTCACACAGCGCTCTGTGTTCAGGTACAACAAGCTGGCCACTCGACACCCCGAGTCCAACACTGCTGGCATGGACATCTTTGCAAAGTTTTCTGCCTTCATCAAGAACTCCAAGCCTGACGCCAATGAGGGTGAGGTTGGGGGTCGGGGGATCGGGGGCCAGAATTTACTTCTCAGGACATGAACTGTGCGTTTACGCATCTGCACCTGCAATGTAACTGTTCATACTTCTGCAGCCAAGTCTGCAAAGAGCATAGATATTCTACAACAGGGGTCTCCAACTCCGGTCCTGGAGGGCTACTATCCAGTTGTTTTTTTATCCTACTTGGCTTCTGATGAGCCACACCTGCTCCTGGTATTTACCTGAGAACTGGTGTGGTTCATCAGAAGCCGGGAAGGATAGAAAACCTACTGCACAGTTTCTGATCAATCTGTTAACGGACAAAAAGCTTTTTTTGCAAATGCAAGGAATTTTCAAAGTGATCCCTAACTTTTGAACGGCAATGTACTTATTTTGGTAAAATACGTTATTCGTAAATCCAAATATATGAAAACGACCTATATTTCACATATTGTATAAATCATCGTGCCGTTATTTTACATCTTTGTGTTCAGAATCTGCTGAAATGACTTCAGTGTTCAAATTTTATGTTCCATAACTCTTGTAAAACAAACACCCACAACAATATACCCACGCGCAGAATGTGTGGAGGGGCAAGGGTGATATTCTGAACGTGAGACGCAGTGCCGAGGACCAGGGCGGTCGGCGACTGCGTGGGGGCAGAATCGTGGGGCCACAAGCGATGCTCGCGGAGTAAGACGTCTACATAAGGCGGTTGTAAGCGTGCCTATGAATCGGCCTTTTGGCACACGGGCCGTTGGGGGGCCTGGGGGGTCACATCGGGATGAGGCGTTCCCCAGGGCTGGGGGCGCGAGCTGCAGCTCTAACAGGCCCAGGATGGAATTAGGCGCTGCTGGATGAGCGTCGTGTCGCTCAGCTGTGCTTGAAGGATCCCGAGGAGCTTCTCCACGGTGCATACCGGTGTTTTTTTTTCTCCTTTTTTTCCTTTTTTTTTTGGAGAAGCTGGAACCATGATGTCGGCAAAAGTGGAAAAAAGTTTGATGGCCCGATTTAGTAATAAATTAAACGTCACAAGTCAAATCAATAAAATATTGTGACACTCGAATGGCGAAGAGATCTGGAGGCAGGCAGCAAAGTGCCCTTTTTAGCAGACTTCTGCAATCCCTAAAAGGACGACGGTAAAACAGTGAGCGGCAATAAACTCACTCACACACAGACGGGGAAGCCTTTACGGAGACAAAAGTGGATACAGGAGACGGACCACAATAAGTGATACTCTGAAAACTGAGACTTGGTCTCTCTTTGGTTCAGCTGCTTTTAAAAACTGGCTTGACATAAATTAAAAAAAAAAAAAATCTATGAACCTTTACTCTCATTTCTGACCGCATAACGTTTCCATTCTGTTCTTTGGTGGAAATGCGGGCAGGTTCTCAAAAGGCACCAAGAGAGAACCAGCCCAGCACTGGCTCTGTGTTTGTGGAATCGAGGCAAATTGCACGTCTGCTAAAGCAGGGCCCTTTGCTGAGACTGGCTGAACATGCAGTTTGTCAGGAGTGAAAAGCCCATCAGGCCTGTGTGAATGAAACTCATTCAGTTACGTAGGTAACCTTAAGGCACACCATAACATGGGAGAAAATGGAAAGCTGTGAAGGAGCACCCCCTAGTGGCCATTAACCAATATGCATGGACTTTTATTTTTTTTTTACCTTCAGAAGGTTGCATGTGAAGTGACTAGTATTAAATTAAAATAAGACAGCAGCCTTAATTAGAATATTAAAAATATCGCTCTGAGATATCCAGAAGTGTCTGTGAATCTTTTTTTCCCCTTAAAAATATCTCTTTAGTTTGGAAGCAGCATTAGAACCACACTTATGGAGTCATGAAGGTTTTTCCCACCTTGTGAACTAACGAAGACCCATCTGCCTCCAGCTCTGGAGCGTGGTCTACTGAAGACCCTGCAGAAGCTGGACGAGTACCTGAACTCTCCGCTGCCTGATGAGATCGATCACCATAGCACCGAGGACGTCAAGATGTCCACACGGCACTTCCTGGATGGGGACGAGATGACACTGGCCGACTGTAACCTGCTGCCCAAGCTGCACATCCTCAAGGTGAGATGGCCTCATGGGACCTGCAGGGGGCGCCCCACTCACAGCAGTTGGCCATCAACCATGCAGCCCCAGGTCTGAGCCAATGACCTTTGGGGGGCTTCACTCTGTGTGAATGCTCTCCAGTCCGGTCTTAGAGGGGGGGTGGAAACGCCCCCTCCTTTCAGCCAGCTCAGTCTGAGATATTCTGAGATGCCTGAGCAGCTGATCTCCTACCTGCAGGTGGTGGCCAAGAAGTACCGTGGCTTCGAGATCCCCAAGGACATGCGGGGCATCTGCCGCTACCTGGCCAACGCCTACAGCCGTGAGGAATTCACCAACACCTGTCCCAGCGAGAAGGAGATAGAGATCGCCTATGCCGACGTAGCCAAGAGGCTGGTCAAGTAGACCAGGGAACCCCTTGTGTACTGGCAGACAGACAGACACATAGACAGAAACACATACAGACGGACGGACTCACGCGTGCACACACAGAAGGACGGACTCGCGCGTGCGCACACACACACACACACACACACACAGACGGACGGACTCATCTCGCCCTATGCGAATCTGTACAATTTCCTCGTCTCTTCATTTTGAAACAGATATTGCATGTGTTCATGTGTTTTTCTCTCGTTCTTTTGTCTTATGATGTAGGACTCTGAGATTCTCTTTGTGTTGTTTTCTTTTCTTTGACTTCTCATGAAGAAATATTCTGGCTGCCGATTTTTAGTTGCTCCTTATGATGATGACAAAATCTGGGCTGTGGATCCTCCCTTTCCAGCCACTAGGGGGTGTTTATTGGCCACCCCCACCCCCCCGGCACTAAGGGCCATTTTGCCATTTTGTCTCTGTTCTGACCTTCTCGAGCTGTGTCATTGTGGTGCTCCCCCACCACCCCCCCCCCATCTCCCTCGCTGCTTTCACCTACTTGCCCAGATTATGTGTAAATGTTCCATTTGGATTTTGGGAGCCCTGCCTTACAGACATTGGCAAACTACATTGTGCTGATTGCCCCCGCCTGTGTGAGTCGCTGTCAGGCTTGGGGGGTGGGATTTGGTGTCCTCCGGTGGTGATGAGCATGTGGCCGTTTAACCCTTTCCCGTCACGGCCGAGGCGGATACCCGCTCGCCGGGCCTTTGGTGCTTGTGCTGCACTCATCCACCACCCTGCTTTTTTCATTTCTTTTTATGATTGTCATAGATTTCAGATGAATGTTCATCGCGCCCCCTGCTCGCACCTCCTCTCCCAGGCCTCCTCTCCCCAAGCCCAAGTGCCGATTGCTATTTTGTCTCTATTTAATTTCTGTTCCTCTGCTGGCAGTTAACAATAAATGACTATATATTTTCACATCATCCGGTGTCTGGTTATGTGGTCAATGCTCCCCCCTGACTGTGGATTTAAGGGTTTAATGAAGCGGATCTCATGTACGACACTTTTCGCGTGTGGTTCTGATAGCTTTTTTTGTTTTTTTAATGAAAAACTAACCTCAAGCATCTTATTTAGATTATTACAAATTTCTGACATCTTAACCATTGTCTGTTTTACTGTCCATGAGCTCGCTGTGAGTGTAGCTCTGGGCCGGGATTCCTGATAACGGTGACTCAGCAGTACTAAAGCTGTTTACTTTTCTATGCGTTTTTCTGGACCAATCCCTTAAGAGGTTGCTTAAGGGAGAGCTGCTTGAAGTGTGATGTCACTAGGCGCTGAGACATCTGATTGATTGGTTGACATTGATGGCTCGAGAATCAAATATTCCCTCCATGCAACTGCCTGACTGTGGCGTGAGAGAAAGCGGTGTTCTTTATAAATATAACACTGCAGGAATCCTAAATAATAAGTAATTTATAAAATTAATATTAATTAATATAATCATCACAAGATCATATGATGAAATTAATAAAATTACAAAATTATCAATGATGAACACCTCACTCCAGTCGAGCCAACACCTGCCACAGTGACTGATGTAGTAAAACATTTGCCGGGGGGGGGGTGGGGGTTGGATTTAAACTGACCTGTCAGACCTACCAGAGCTTAAGTGAAATGATCCTTTATTTGGAAGTTGCACAGGTACAAGCACTAGCACACTGGGAAGCTTCTCTGCAGCTACCCCATCTGTCTCTCCAAGAAGCAGACCGACAGCTGAGCACGCACAAGGTCATGCTTGGGGTCACAGCACCAGCTCAGCCAATGGGCAGCACCCCTGAGCTGCCATTACACTCAGGTCTCACACTATGAGGAGTAGAAGTTGTCCGACTTGGCTGCAGTCAGTTTATATTCCACCCCTGCAGCCGCGGGCAGATCGTGCTCCACGTCACGTCAGCCGCAGACAGACCTAAGCCCAAGTCGAACGCACCCACAGAATCGATTGCTTAGCCTTGGTATCCTGTGGCCGGCACTACGAAGCGGGTTACTGGCTTATCGGGGTAACTTGTTGGATTTAAGGTAGTCTGGGCAAAATGTAAGTGAGCGAATATGAAGTCCATTTAAACTGTGGTACCTTAAATCTGACAAGTTACCCCGATAAACCAGTAACCCCGCTTCGTAGTACAGTGGCCTGGATGTATAACTTGTATTTTTAACCTTGTATTTTTGCATGTGAATTCGGACCATCGAATTGGAGCAACTTTGAAATGTTCTCTCTGAACTTTTTTGTAATTTGTATCTTTAAGCCCTGAATTTATTTTATCGTGAATTTGTGAACATGGAAAAATAGCAGTGAAACTGCATTATAGAAAATTTGAAGAAAATCTGATGCATAAATTTTAAATGTTAGAATTTCAGTGGCATATAAAATTCAAGTTGTGATTAGACAGATTTACTTCCATAGACAGCCCACTCTGCATTCTCACATGGGAGCTCATGTTGTCTCTGGACTGTCATTACCAATTATAGTCACAAGAGGGAGCCTTCTCTACATGCTGTGCTTGATTGGAAGCGACCCTCTGGTCATCTTACCAGAGATCTCTGCACAGGTATGTATATGTGTAGGCTCACCGCCTCTCACTGGGAGCCGGACTCAGCTCGCCGCCTCTCATGTCTGTTATTGGGTAGCATGGTGAAAGAGGAATGGGGCCATAAATGATGACTATAATTATAAGAGGTATAAGTGTGCCGTTGCTGTGGATATGGGAGTTGGTGCTGTTCTGCCCCTCCCCCCCCCCGTCCTTCGCTGCAGGGCTTCCCCCAGGTTTGCTCGCCCAGCAACGACGATTTTGTGTACTGCGGCCCGGTTTCCATAACGTCAGCGAGATGCTTATCTTCTGATTCAGTGGTTTCTTCTTTGTCATTTGAGACAGCTGTAACGTCAGCAGCCGTACGAAGGTCTAAGGAGCCACGTTTCAGGCCAAGAGGTGCGAGTTCTCACACTTAACGGGCCACCTGGTGAAGGTCTCCGCTGGCTGGGCCTCCAGCCGCCCTGTGACGCTGGCTATAGCTTCAATACCTGTGATGTCACTCTGAAGTGTCAGCACCCTCTGGTGTCTGGGTCCGAGCCTTGCCTTTCCCCACCTCTACACCATCCTGTCCGGCCCAGTTGGACCCAGACGGCGATGATAGTCTGTGTGAAAATGAAGTGCAGGTGGGCCTGAGCAGAGCTCTCGCTTAAAAAGGGTATATTTAATTTTGTATGATGTTAACTGGCTGCGGGAAAAACCCAGTCTGGAGTGAAAGCAGGATCTGGAGTTTGATAGCGAATCCTGAAAACAGAAGAAGGCCTGGCTGAGCTTGAAAGGCAGAGTGGGCAGTTCCGTGTGTGTCTGTGTCCGTGTCCATGTCCGTGTGTGTGTCTGTGTCCATGTCCGTGAGTCTGTGTCTGTGTCTGTCCGTGTGTCTGTGTCTGTGTCCGTGTGTGTGTGTCTGTGTCCGTGTGTTTTTCTGTGTGTTTGTCTGTGTCTGTGTGAGAGAGTGAGTGAGTCTTGTGTCTGTTTCTGTTTCTGGCGTCTTGCATGAGGACATCTTGTTTTTATAAAGCAAAGATGGTTTGTTTTTAGCCGGAAGGGTGGGTCAGTCCCCTCAATGTGAGTAACAGTAAATATGGGAATCGTCTCCTTGACTCAGCCTGTGTGTTGTTGCCATGCTGCTCTGTGTGTGTGTGTGTGTGTGTGTGTGTGTATGCAGATGCCAGGCTGCTGTGTGTGTGTGTGTGTATGCAGATGCCAGGCTGCTGTGTGTGTGTGTGTGTATGCAGATGCCAGGCTGCTGTGTGTGTGTGTGTGTAT